ACATCGTTTTTATGTAAAATGCATAACAAGATCTAAAATTAGTTGCAATTAGTTTTAATTTATTTTTTTTGCGTTAAATTGTTAAAAAAAAAAAACAATTTCTCAGTTTTGTGATTGTTAACATGTACCCATTCCTCCTTAAAAGAAAAACCAATTTTTCAGAAAAAATTTAAAACTTACAAATATATTTTATACATTATTATGCATATGATCCAAATTTTCTTTATAATGTCGCTTCCTTAAAAAAACTTTTAAAAAGGATCCGATTTAAATGAATGATGGCTTATTTCCTTCAGAAAATAATTTTTAAAATCGTCATATCGCTGGTTTTTCTTAAACAAGTGCACCATTTTTTTTTTTTTTTTTTTTTTTTTTGAAATATGCTTATTTGTATAAAAAAAATTAAAAATTATTACTTAAACAAATAACATACTTACACGTCACGTAGGTTTTTCCGTTCCATTGTTTTTCGAATATTCATAAATGAAATTTATTACAATGATAATAATTTATTTCTCATAATTTATACATTTAAATAATGTAACAAACTAATTTAGTAGCTAAAAGTTACTGTATACATTATTAAAAAAAAAATTTTTTTATTTTAAGTTGTACAATCATGAGTAAACATTGTTTTTATTACAAAAAAAATAATTAAAGTGCTGAAAGATTTAAAACAGAAGAAAGTAATAATAAAGTAAGATTTTGTAATCTGATAATAAATTGAATTTTTTTTTTTTAATTTAATGTGTTTATAACACATTAAAAAACCCATAAATGATGATAATTAAAGAACGCTTTCTATATTTTATTCATAATTATTTTCGCCTTCATCTTTTTATGGAACTGTGATTATTGAATTGAAAACACTAAGTTCGCATCTAACAATGACGGTTTTCGGTATTTGACCACGGAAAGCATCAAACAATTTAGATTTACTAAAGCCCCAGAACGTTTCACTAGATAATGAAATGGTGTCAGTTTCAAATTTTAGAAAATCACGATATGAATTATGTAATGTAAACTTGGCATAAAATTTTTTATATGGAGGTGTTTGAAACAGGTAAATCTTTATGTAATCTTCATTGATTGTCTGTTTATTGGGATTTGGACGCAATTGAATATACCACTGATTTTCCATCAAACTTGTTGATAGAAATTTTGGAGAATCAAATTTTTCAACGCTTTTACAAATAATAATCCCAAAATCTTCTACTGTCCAATTAAGGACATAATTATCAAACATCATTTTTGAAGTGTAATTATGCCTCTCAGCTATTTTATTAGTAGTCAACAAAATTTTTTTGTTCGTATCGATAATTTTCGTCTGAAAAATTAATATAAAAAACGTAGTAAATACTGTTTTTAAGATAACACTTTAAGGGTATAGGTCCTAGTAAGGCAGCACCACCTATATCGAAACTAAAATTATGGAAAATTATTTACAGTATTTACTTGAAAGCAAGACAATAAAATACTTTTTCCTTTATGATAATTGATTATTGTCAAGAAATATATCAGCTAAAACTTTTTTTGTGTTAAAACAATGAAAAAAAATTTCATGTCAATAAATTAAATATGAGCATATTTTTTTACGAAAACTTTTAAGATATTTTCTCGGAAATTTCGTGATTGGTGAATCTTAGCTGGTATATTTTTTAGTGTTTATTAATTCTCCAAATGAAAATTGCATTTTTTTTTTGTTATTTCCGAGAAAATATCTTAAAAGTTTTCGTAAAAAAATATGCTCATATTTAATTTATCGTCATTAATTTTTTTTCATTATTTTAACTCAAAAAAAGTTTTAGCCGGTATATTTCTTGATAATAATCAATTATCCTAAAGGAAAAAGTATTTTATTGTCTTGCTTTCAAGTAAATATTGTAAATAATTTTCCAAAATTTTAGTTTCGATATAGGTGGTGCTGCCTTACTAGGACCTGGCTTTAAAAGTATTTTGCGGACCCAATACCGTGGTTGTCCAGCAGTTTTTTCCGTTCAGTTTAAGGTTTATGTGATTGTTACACATGATATATTAATAAAATTTGGCACATGACAACGAATCCTTATACTATTTTTGAGTTCTTCACATATTTTCATTATTTTAATATTTTGTCGATCGAGTGATAAAATCATTAATTATATAACACCGTCCAACACAATTTTTGATCCACAAAAAAATCCAACATTTTCGGAAAGTAGGACCCAAAAAAAATACCCGTGTCTGGTCGTTTTGCTGGATCAAGTCGTTTGTGGTTTTTAGGGGTGAAAACAATCCCTAAATGAAAAAGGGACAAGATATCTGTTAAAAATTATTAATATTTTATAAAACTTGGTATCAAGGGGTTTTCAGGCTCGCTGATTATTAATATGATGTCAGATTTTCAAAATTCAAAATGGCAGATCCAATATGGCGATCAAATTTTTAAAAAGTAATTAATTTATTTTATATCTGCCATTTTGAATTTTGAAAATTTAACATCCGATTCGACAACAGTCATCGACTACGAAAACCCCCTGATACCAAGTTTTATAAAATATTAATAATTTTTAAAAGATATCTTGTCACTTTTCATTTAGGGATTAAGATTAATAATAATTAATAAGATTAAACCCTAAAATCCATAAACGACTTGATCTAGGGTGAAAATTTCCCAATTGGGCCACATAAAACTGACTTTTCAAATTTAAAATATTTTATTTTATAATCTATTGCACGAAGCCGAATTAAAAACATTCCTGAAATGTGTTTTTAAAAAAATTAATTTTTCAATTATTTATTAACAATTGAATATTTTGTTACCTTTCCACTAAATTTGCAATTACTCTGTTGCTTGTTAATGAAATTTAATTGAAATTTTGTGAGTATATAGAAAAATGATGTCTCTTTGAAATGCAATAGAAATTTCAATTAAATTTCATTAACAAGCAACAGAGTAATTGCAAATTTAGTGGAAAGGTAAAACAAATATTAAATTGTTAATAAATAATTTAAAAATTAATTTTTTTTAAAAACACATTTCAGGAATGTTTTTAATTCGACTTCCTGCAGTAGATTATAAAATAAAATATTTTAAATTTGAAAAGTCAATTTTATGTGGCCCAGTTGGGAAATTTTCACCCTCTAGCAAAACGGCCGCAGACACGGGTATTTTTTTTTTGGTCCTAGTTTCCGAAAATGTTGGATTTTTTTGTGGGTCAAAAAAAAAAACTTGAATTTTGTCGAATGGTGTAATAAAGAAGTATTTATAAGAATTATTTAATAATATATCAACATTTTCGCACTAGACAACAATTCTTTATCATATTTCGAAGCTCTCTATAAAATTTTAACTCAATCCATTCAATATTTTATAAGTTACCTTAATTTTGAAGATAACATTTATAAAAAAAATAATTATTTTCTTTCTTTATTTATTAAAACTAATAATTCCATTGAATATGCCAAAAAGTAAAATATTATTGAAAAGTAATTTAAATTATTATACGAGGTTATTTGTAAAAATGGATGTCTGCTGGGACGACAACGATATATATCGGATATTTTTTAAAAATTATTACAATTTTGTTCTTAACTATATTAATTATTTTTATTAATAAAATATATTAATTATATTTTGTTCTTATTATAAGTATAAAGAAACTAGAAAATCTAATTGATATAAGCTTTCTTTTTAATAAATAATTTTTTTCAACGTTATAAGAAAATTTACTTACATAGAAAAGTGAATTTCTGTGTTAAAGAAGAAATTTGTTTCCGTTAGAATAAGTTTATAAATTTTTTTATCGAATTTTTAATTATCTGTACGTAATTTTTTTTTTCGATAAAAAAGAATCTTCTTCTTCTTCTTCTTCTTCTTCTTCTTAAATGACTTGAGGCTTGGAAAAAGAATCTGAAATAGCCAAGCGACGCCAAGCCACCAAAAACCATAGAATATATAGATAAAACAAGAGAACCAAAATTAAGTGTCTAAAATATATCATACTTAAGGTTAAATGACATGGAGGAGTATAAAGTATCAAATTTTGTAACTAAATAATAAGAATAAAAGAGATGAAGACATACGTTTGTCCCTCTCGCACTGATGGTCTAGTTATAAAATTTGACGCTTTATTATTTTAAATGGTACACTCGTCGCCAGATATGCCTACATATTTTTGTCCTCTTCTAACGCACGTGTTGCCATGACAACATGTGAGTTAAAAAAGGACAAAAAAAAGTGTAGGCATATACACGGCCAACAGTGTACTATTTAATGAGGCGATAAAACACGATTTAATTTTTTAAATAATTTTATTGTTTAATTAAATAGTATACATTAAAAATAAAACCTTAAATTCTAAATTATGTTGGAAATTTTCATTAAGGAGCGGTCACAACTCTGCAGTCGCTTGCCTTTAATTTTCTTAATAATAAGCAAAAAAAAAAAAAAAAAAAAAAACTAATCACTATAATGTAACCTTCGTAAGAAGAAAAAAACATGAATTATGAATATTAAATCAAGAATTATCCAATATTTTATACATTTTATGAACAATTTTAATTTTTAGCATTTATATTTGCGTCATGTATTTTTTTTATTATATATTTCATTAAAATTTAATATTTTTATTTTATACATTTAAATATTTAGATATATTATTATTATATATTTATTAATATGGGTGTTTGCAAAAAGATATGAAAAATTAAAATTTTGTGAAAAGAATACAGAAAATTAATTTTATTTTATTTTGAAAATTTTGTTTCAATTTTTTTTTACAATACTATTACATATTATTGTGATTTTTTTTTTCTTAAAAAAAGTGATTGAACTTTGTATTCAAGGAAATTAAAAATGCACGCCATAAATATAAGAATTATATATGTAAATTTTCTTAGAAAAGGAGAAAATGATTTAGTGTAATTTATATGATAATTTAATATTTGAAACACGTCATTATAATTATTCTTCTTATTCTTGTTGAGACAACATTAAAAATTTATTTTAAAATTTAGTTGCAGTATTAAACTGATTGTGTCTCGATGTAATCAGTTAATTCTTTTTTCTAAAAAGAATTATTTTATAAATTTTGTTTATTTTTAATTTTTTAAAAATTCATTAATAATTTATTAAATAATAAAAATTTTTATTTTTAAAATTATGACAAGGAAAAATGACAAAATTTAAGTGACTAAAAATAATTTATCATTAAAGGATAAAATTAAATTTTTCTAAAGTACGAAGTGAAAGAAAATATTTGTAAAAATAAAAATATGACTGACTCGTGTAATAAAATAAAAAAACAAAATGAAATAAAACTGATTGAAAATAATGTTGAGAGTGAAATAATTGTAACAAGTCCGGAAATTTGTACCAAACCAGTTGAAAACAATAATAATAATAATAATAATTTGAGGGAGGAGAAAAAATATTTAGTGAATAAATTAAAAAATATTTTTGAAATAAATTTAAATTCAGATAAATTTTTAAATTTTAATAAAAAAGAAAAAATCGAATTTTTATTCAATTTTATAAAATCTGAAGAAAAGAGCTGTAAAAATGCACTTAAAATTTTACCTGACGATATGTTACTTTTAATAGTTGCATCAAATTTTGAAGGTGATTGTGGAAGAACACCTGATGAAAAACCAAATTGGCTTGATATGGAAAAATTTAAACGAGGTCAAAAATTTGCAATGGATTATTTTTTTGCTGTATCTTATGCGCAACTATTGTCATTATTTATTTTATTTTCCTTTGAAGATGGTCTTAAACCTTTGATATTCACTGGAAAATCCAGTACGCCTTACACAGCTTTTAAGAGGTAAAATTTTCTATTTTCATGTATTTACATTTTAAAAATAAATTTAAATACAAATATATATAAAAAAAAATTTAATTATTAATGCAAATATTTAAAAATAAAATTGTAAAACAAAATAATAGTAAAAAATTAAAAGTATTTTTTTTCATAAAAAATAAATATAAATAAGAGCTTTATTTATATTTATTTAAAAATAAATTTAATTACAAAAATAATATATAAAAAAAAAAATTTTTAAGATATATTTCAACTGCAAAGCGTGTTAGAAATTGGTACACGAAAAATCCATGGAAGGAGGGTACAGAAGCTTATAATGATATTCAAACAGTACGAAAAATGCACTCAATTGTTAGGGAAAAATTACAAAAAATTGATAATAAAACAATAGATGAATTGACTAAAATTAAAAATCCACATTCTCCTTCAAGAGATATTTTAAGAAAAGATTTTCATCACGCTTGTCCAGAACCAAGTTTAGGACAATGTCCATTTTTATTTTTTCAAAATAAATCTGAACTTAATTATCTTCGTCCTAAAGGACTGAATCAAGGTGATATGGTTACAACACAATTTGCATTTATGGGATTAGTAATTTTATATCCCAAGAATTTTGGTATTTTTCATAATGAAGAAAATTTAGATGCATTTTGTCACACTTGGCGTGGTATTGGATATTTACTTGGAATCGATGACGAGTTGGTTTAAAATTTTAAATAAAAATTAATAATAAAATAAGAAACGCATGATTATGTTCTAAAAAAATCGTTAGAATTTTCATTTTATGGAATTTTATTTGTCATAATTATTTTTGAGCCGAAATTTTATTTGTTCGAATTAGCATTTTGCAAGAATTTTCATCAAACCGATTTTCTATATTACAGAATTTTTATACAATCGAAAATTCACTTTACAAAATTTTTATTTGTTCGAATTTCTATTTGTCAGAATTTTTATTTGCTCGAATTTTCATTTAACATAATAGGCATTTTAAAGAAATTTTATTGTGTAGAATTTCATTGCACATAATTTTCATTTTATTCTTTCAGATGAATTTTCATTTGTACGAATTATTATTTAATTGAATTTCCATATAACCGATTTTTCAGACAACAGAATTTTTATTTAACCGAAAAAATCATTTAACCGAATTTCTAATTGATAGAATTTTCATTTGTCCGAAATTGCAAATGACCAAAGCAACAATCGATTTTAGCGCGAATTTTAAAATCAACCAATCACAATTTTAAGGATAATTTTTGATTGGTTGATTTTAAAAATCGCGCCAAAATTGATTGTTACTTCGGTCATTTGCAATTTCGGACAAATGAAAATTCTATCAATTACAAATTCTGTTAAATGATTTTTCAGGTTAAATAAAAATTCTGTTGTCTGAAAAATCGTTTATATGGAAATTCAATCAAATAATAATTCGTACAAATGAAAATTCTGTGTAATGAAATTCTACCCAATAAAAATTCTTTAAAATGCCTATTATGTTAAATGAAAATTCGAGCAAATAAAAATTCTTTGAAGTAAATTTTCGGTTAAATAAAAATTCTGTAATATAGAAAATAGTTTTGATGAAAATTATTGCAAAATACTAATTCGAATAAATAAAAATTCGGCTCAAAAATAATTATGACAAATGAAATTCCATAAAATGAAAATTCTAACTATTTTTAGAACATAATCATGCGTCCCTAAAATAATTGAAAAAAATTGTAATAAATTTTATCTTATTTTTATTATTTTATTATATATAATAAAATAAAATAATAATAATAATAATATTAATAATAATTCAATATTTATGAAATCTATTAATAAATATTTTGCTTAAAATAGATTTAATCTTTGTCGTGGTACATTAAAAGAAATAAAAGAACGATGTGAACATTTTTTGCAATTTTGGGCATTACCAAATTTTCGAGAATTGTCACCAGAAAGTGAGCATATGATGAGATGTGTTGTTGAGAGTTTAAAATATTATATACCCGGTAATTATTATGAAACTTGTGTTTTATATTTATCAGAAATGTTGAATTTACACACGCCCAAATTATATTCATCGCTAACTTATAAATTATGGTTAAAACATCTTTTTCTTAAGTAAGTTATTTTATTATTTTTTATTTCAATTATTTTATTTTCAAATATTTTGAAATATATTTTTAAAAAAAAAATTTATTTTTTTCCTAATCTAGAACTCTTTATCAATATGCATGTCAATTACCTGGAGTAGGATGGTTATTAAACTTAAAAGTCAATACTGCATTGGATAATGCATTAAATTATAGTGCAAAAAAACATGAGGAATTAAAAAGATCTGAGGAAACTTGGAAAAAAAATTAATTTTATTAATTGTGATAATTTTTTTTTTATATATATATAGTTAAAAATTATTTTTAAGAGGGAATATTAAAAAAATTTGTAATAAAATTTTATTAGAGGTGAAAAAAAAAATAAAGAAAAAATATTCGAACAAATTAGTTTTAATTATTTTGAAATCTTACGCTAATTCTTTCTAATAAAAATCAAATTATTTATAAATTATAATTTTGAAATTCTTAACGAAATAAATTATTTTTTATATAAACTTTTAATCAAGTTTTTTGAAAATTTAATAATTTAAAAATTTTCAAATTTTAAATTCTCTAAAATTTAATTATTCTAAATTGAGAAAAAAAAATCTCCAGCAGTTAAAATTTCAGATAAATCCATTGAGTTTTTGAAAAAATTGTCCGCCATATTGGATACGCCATTTTGAATTTTTGAAAACTTATACCGTATTCGTGTTTAGTGACCCAAAAAACATAAGTATATGGTGCAGAAATAAAAATAATTCATCAATATATTATTTTTTGCAAAATAGTATTTTTTAAATCTTTTTTAGTGGAAAATCGCCATTTTGTCGTCCGCCATCTTAAATTTTGAAATTCGCAACTATATAGTTTTGTAGCTGGGTATTCGAGGACGCGATATTTTGGGTTCCGGAGCAAATTAACTGTCGTTTTTCATGTCAAAATATTTTTTGAATAAAAATTTTTTTGCAGAAAATCATGTTTTTTTGCAATAAAATTGTTATAAATATTAAGGATTTAATTATAATTAAATTTGGACTTCAGAATCGAAAAGAGCAATAAATTTTACGTTAGAAATGGGCTATCCTGAATTTTTTAAATTATTTTTTCATATAAAATAACAGCTGCTAAGTGAAGGTAAATTTTTCGTCCTGGCGGTCGTTAATGGGTTAAAAAATTAGATTTTTAATTGAATAATCTATTAAATACCTATATTTGTGTTTTCAAAGAACTTCATTAAAAATATTATTGAACAAAATTAATTTAGCGAAAATTTTTAGAAATTAGTGAATTTTGAAGATTTTCAAAAACAATTGAATTTCTGGAGATTATAAATTTAAATTTTTGTCAATTTGAATTTGTAAATTATTAAAATTTTGAAAAAAGTTTTTAAATTATAGAGAATTTTTTAATTAAAAAATGTTTTTTAAATAATTGAATTTTTGTAAAACTTTATTAAAATCATTGAAAAAAATAAATTTATCTAATTGTAAGAAAATTTTGTAAATAATTGAATTTTGAAAGAGTTATAGTTAAGATTTTTAAAAATTATTGAATTTTAGATAATTTTTAATTTAAAAATATACAAGTACAAGATTAATTTTCTTAGTAGGAAGTACAATATATTTTGTGAAATAATAAAAAAAAAAGTATAGAATTAACTCATAAACTTCAATATTTTAATTTTTTTGTTTTACATGATACATTTTTTTTTTCAAACGTAAACATTGTTTTTTTTTTGCTTAATCATAACTACACAAAATAAAATAATATCTAAACACAAAAATCTTGTCAATTTTTTTTTTTTGAAATCCTTGATGTACATGTATACAGTAAAAACTTACATTTTTAAAACATTCAATGTCCTTTACATTATTACATTTGTTTTTTTTTTCTCTATTTTTGCTTTCGTTACAAAGTAGAAATCTTAATATTTTAGAAATATTCTTAACAAAAAGTACAATGAGTAATAAATAAAGACGCATTTTTTTTTTACACAAAACAATGAAACGTAACGATCTTGATTTTTTAATTCTGCCTTTCTATACTTTAACTTTGCGTTGGCTTCTTTAATTTTTCTTTGGTCATATCGAGTATTTATGAAAAATGAAGAAATGAACCTAAAATAAAAATTCTTTTTTTAATTGTGTATTAATTTTATACAGTTGATGAAATTTTGAAATTTTTGAAGAAAACTTCATTTTTCTTCAAAAAAAAAAAAAAAAAGAAAAATTTCAATAGTAATAAAAAAAATCTTACAAATTATTTGTCCAATTCCAAGCAGTGCATAGAAATTCAAACACGAAATTTTAATCCCAATTGTTGATTATTTTCATCATCCACAATCATTTCAGAATCAACTGATTCAATAATTTTATTAAATTCCTCAATTAAATGTGGATATTTTTGTATAAATTCACTAAATTCCTTAGTGGCTTGAACTGATTTTAAATCAGTATTTAAACGTTCAATACAAATGTCCTTTAATTTTGTAATTGATTTCATATCAGCAAAATGTAATATTTTCAAAACATTTTCAGGCGAAAGATTTTTATTGAAATTATTAATGCAAATTGTCTTTAATTTTTCAAGTTGATATTTCTCAGCGGCAATATATAATTCCAATGATATTTTATTGAAATTTTGAATTTTATCCGTATAAATGAAACGTAAAATATTTTCAAATACCGTTGGTCTAATATCATTAATTTTAACAATCGATGTGAATTCCTCTTTTTTTTTATTTTTAAACATTAATGCAAAAACTGGACTTCGACTTGTGAGAATATTTTTGTGCGCTGTATATTTTTTTCTTCCAATACGAAAGATGACATCCTTAAAATCTTTATCATTATATAAATTTTCAATATTATCAATAAGATTATTTGATTTTGGAAAATCGATAAGTTCATTTTTAATTGGTATTGATTTACCAGAATCAAAAACACTTAATTCACATGTTACGAGAACATTTTTTGGTATTAAATCACCAAATGAATGATAAAATTCTGAACCATTTATAAGCCATGAGAGATTACGATCAGAACGCAATGAACTACTGACAAATACTTCAACTTTTTCAAATGAATTGTAAAATACAATTTTTACATTCACATGTTTTTCACCTCCATCAGTGCTTTTCAATGAGATACGAAATTTTTCTGTATTACCATTTTTTAATTCCGTTGGCTCCAATTGAATGAACCATTGAACATTATTTGCATTATCAGCTGGAAATCTTGGCGATTCTATTAATTTTACACTTTTACAAATAAGTTCAAAATTCTCAATTGTCCAGTTAAGTTTAAAATTGCTAAATTTCAATTTTGAAATGTACGATTGTTCATTGTCGATTTTATCGAACATTGAGATAAATTTCACCTTTCCAGGCACAATTGGTTTGACTTTTTTCTGAAATGTTAAGAAAGGGTTTTTTTTTTTTTAGAAAAAGACAAATTTTTAAATATCTATATCTGTATTGCAATTAAAATCTTACAAATGTTTTTCTTTTAATTAAATTTTTACGTATAAAAAATGATTTTTCTTCTGTAATTTAAATACTGTAGAGAATCAAATTAGGGGAAAAAAATTGGAACACATGATTATGTTCTAAAAATCGTTAGAATTTTCATTTTATAGAATTTTATTTGTCCTAATTATTTTTGAGCCGAATTTTTTATTTGTTCGAATTAATATTTTACAAGAATTTTCATCAAAAACGATTTTCTATATTATAGAATTTTTATATAACCGAAAATTTACTTCAAAGAATTTTTATTTGTTGGAATTTTTATTTGCTCGAATTTTCATTGAACGTAACAGGGCATTTTAAAGAATTTTTTTTTGGGTAGAATTTCATTGCACAGAATTTTCAATTTTATTCTTTCAGATAAATTTTCATTTGTTCGAAATTGCAAATGACCGAAGCAGGAATCGATTTTGGCGCGAATTTTAAAATCAACCAATCACAATTTTATGGATAATTTTTTATTGGTTGATTTTAAAAATCGCGCCAAAATCGATTGTTGCTTCGGTCATTTGCAATTTCGGACAAATGAAAATTCTATAAATTAGAAATTCGGTTAAATAAAAATTCTGTTGTATGAAAAATCGTTTATATGGAAATTCAATCAAATAATAATTCGTACAAATGAAAATTCATCTGAAAGTATAAAATGAAAATTCTATGCAATGAAATTCTACCCAATAAAAATTCTTTAAAATGCCTATTATGTTAAATGAAAACTCGAGTAAATAAAAATTGTGCCAAATAAAAATTCAAAGAAATAAAAATTCTGTGAAGTGAATTTTCAGTTATATAAAAATTCTGTAATATCGAAAATCGTTTTGATGAAAATTCTTGAAAAATACTAATTTGAACAAATAAAAATTAGTCTCAAAAATAATTTATGACAAATGAAATTCCATAAAATTAAAATTCTATCTAATTATTTTTAGAATATAATCATACGTCCCAAAAAATTCTACAAATATTTTTGTATATTTTTTTTTTAACAAAATTTAATTGGTTAATGAATATTTTACTTTGAATAACTAATGTTATTAGATATTAAATTCATTTTATCAATTCTGTAATGAGAATAATTCTATAATGAATATTATCAAGAAAATTTATTTCGAATATTTCAGAATCAAACTAATTGTAAGATAAATTTTCAAAATTTCATTCAAGTAGGACAAATTTCTAAAAAAAAAATCTTTAAGTTCCATTTTTACAATTTTTTCAAGTCTGATTTAAGCAATTTATTCAAATTTAAAATTTTGGTCAGAGTTTTTAGTTTTGATGGTAAAAAAAAATTTCAGGCAATACTTAATAAAATTCTACAGATTTTTAAATAAAAATATTTTTCTAATAATTATTTTTGAAAGAGTTTAAGTTGAAATTTTTAGAAATAATTGAATTTAAAAAGATTTTCGTTAATTTTCATGACAATAATAAAAATTTTACAGAACTAAAAATAATTTATCAAATAATATTTGAATAACTTTTTTCTTTAAAAGAAATTAAATTTTCAAAGATTTACAATTTTGATTTTTGAAATTAATCAAACTTCAAGTGTTTTTTAATTTTGAAAGTTTTTATGATTTCACTAAATTTTTTTCAGAATTTACAGACAAAAATACAATAATTTGAAAACTTTTTATGCAAAAAAATAGTTTCAGATAGTTGGATTTTTCGAAGAATATTATAAAAATCATTCAAAATAATTGAATTTCAGGAGAATTATAATTGAAATTATTAAATTTCAAAAAATTTTAAATGAAAAATTTTAGAAGCTTTTAAATTGAAATTTTTTGAAAATAATTGAATTTCAAAAAAATTGTCTTAAATTTTAAACAATAATTATAATAAAAAAAATCTCTAGTGATTTTTATTGATGAAGAATTTATTAGAAATCACATAAAAAAAATTGAATTCCAAAAGTTTTTAATTGAAAAATGCTTTTACATAATTGAAAATTTTGAAAATAATTAAATTTTAGTTAATTTTAAGTAGAAAATTTTGAAAAAAATTGAATTTCAGTTTATTTTAAGTAGAAAATTTTGAAAATAATTATATTTTAGTTAATTTTAAATAGAAAATTTTGAAAATAATTGAATTTTAATTTATTTCGAATTGCAAATTTTGAAAATAATTGAATTTTTAATTGATTTTGATTTGAAATTTTTAGAAATAATTGAATTTCAAAAGTTTTTAATTAAAAATTTGCTATCAGATAAATGAATTTTTGAATAATTAAATTTCAAGTGATTTTAAATTAAAAATTTTTGGTAATTTTATTTGCAATTTTTTTTTTTTTTTTTGAAATTATAAACAATCATTAAATTTTATAAAAATTTGAATTGATAATTGAATTTGGTAAGAATTTTATTAAAATTATTAAAAATAAATAATTTAGTGAAGAATTTTAGTTGAAAGTTCGTTAAATAATTGAAATAAAAAAAGATCTGAAGAAGATCTGCATTGTATACTAAAAAAATGTAGTTTGTTTAAATTTCTTTTTTTTCAAATGTAAAAAAAAGTCAAAAAAGTCGCATTTTATTAAAATAAGTCGAAAAATGTCGTATAATCCGAGGCCTGAAACATTTAAAAAAAAAAATTATAATTCTGCTAATAGTAAAAAATCACAGAAGAAATATATAAAATTCTTTTTTGTAAAATAGATTCTAATTCCCAATCGAATCGTTTACTTTTTTTTATGTTTGAAATTAATATTTTCTAAGTTTGTCTCATAATAGGTGAAATTTTATAAATTGTCTCATAATGCATACTTTTACTTTATCAATTTTTCAAAAATAAGTTAAAAATATTTTTTTCCCTTTTTTCACGCTTTTTTTTATCGTAAAATTATCTTGAGAATGCTTACGATTTTAATAAAAATTTGGTAAGGTTATTTATAATTATTATTTTCGAAATTTTTTTTTTTTTTTATTAATAACAATTTTATAACAAATTTTCTTTGTATATAGAAAATAAATTTACTTACTTCCATTTTTTTTGTATTAATATATTCCCAATTCCTGGAAAATTAAAGAAGACTTTTTTTTGTGCTTTTTGCCGTTTTTTTGATGAAAGCAAGAGGTTAAGCCAGGGTTGTGTAGTTAATCGGGTAACAATTAAAGAACAGAATATGAGTGAAACATCTAAAATGTAAACTAGTGACATATAAAGTTGGTTCTACAATAGATTTTTTTTAGGATGAGACGATGCGCGCGCATCCATTGTCAGCTACAGGGTTGCGTCTGTAAGGCTGCAGTCCCATGGCAGCGTTTTGCGTTGCGTTTTGTCACTAGACCATGAGTGTAAAAGAGATGCAGATATATGTTTGCTATGTTTACACTCAGGGTCTAGTGACAAAACGCAACGCAAAACGCTGCCATGGGACTGCAGCCTAAGAGTTGCAGACATTTATCTCAAAATGAAAACCACGAAAGTTTATTAAGTCGAATTCACAAGTGTCGAATTGACAAATGTTCTAACCTCTATTTCCATGAATTGTATATTAAACGAAATGTTATTGTTTCGAATACTAATATGATCAACTTTCATGCGCAAAAAATTATATTTTGATCTAATTTATATTTTGTATAATTTTAAATTTCTCTAATTTTTATTTATTCTTATCTTTATTTAACCTAATTTTCATAAAGTCGAAATATGAAATGTTATAATGTTGATTTAACCTAAATATAATTTATAATAAAGGTAATTTGACATAATTATTATTTATGGTAATGATTTAATGTACGAATTAAAATGAAATCAATTTTTCAAATGTTTAAATTATATTCAAAGCGAAATATTATTTTTTGGAATTATATTTTCACATAATTTCTATTTACACTAATGGATTAATGACAAAATTAAAAAATGTTAAATTTGTAATAGACTATATTCTTAAAGTTGACGAATTTCTATTTCATAAAAATTATTATTTGCCTAATTGTCATTTAATATAATGTGTTTCTTTACGAAATACAAAGTTCTTTAATTTTTATTCATCCGATTTATAAGATAACCTAAATGTTATTTTTCATATTTCTTATTCGTTATAAATAAGATGTGTTCTAATTATTATTTATCATAATTTCTTTATTTTCGAATTTAATTCTAACCTAAATATTAAAATCATTAATTGTAAATTAATTAAATCAAATTTCGTCGAATATGCATTTCAACTAATCTTCATAGCATCAAATTATTATTTAAAATAAATTTTACTTAATCGAATTTCAATAACTTATAATGTACATTACATTTAATTTTTATTTAATTGAATTATCGCGCCACATAATTGTCACGTGTCCGAATCGTTTGTCGTCGAATTATAAAAACCCGAAAATTTGTAGCTGAATGAGTTTCCTATCTATGACATTTACTTTTTCTATTAGTATAGCCGATAATGTAGATTTAGATGACGCTTTTGTCATTTTCTAATCTCTAGTTTTATTGAGCGTCAGTTTTAAATATTTCACACTTTATATGTATATTAATTTAATTACTATATGACGCTTTATAAATGTTATAAAATCATCGTTATTATAAATCTACATTATCGGCTATACTAATAGAAAAAGTAAATGTCATAGATAGGAAACTCATTCAGCTACAAATTTTCGGGTTTTTATAATTCGACGACAAACGATTCGGACACGTGACAATTATGTGGCGCGATAATTCAATTAAATAAAAATTAAATGTAATGTACATTATAAGTTATTGAAATTCGATTAAGTAAAATTTATTTTAAATAATAATTTGATGCTATGAAGATTAGTTGAAATGCATATTCGACGAAATTTGATTTAATTAATTTACAATTAATGATTTTAATATTTAGGTTAGAATTAAATTCGAAAATAAAGAAATTATGATAAATAATAATTAGAACACATCTTATTTATAACGAATAAGAAATATGAAAAATAACATTTAGGTTATCTTATAAATCGGATGAATAAAAATTAAAGAACTTTGTATTTCGTAAAGAAACACATTATATTAAATGACAATTAGGCAAATAATAATTTTTATGAAATAGAAATTCGTCAACTTTAAGAATATAGTCTATTACAAATTTAACATTTTTTAATTTTGTCATTAATCCATTAGTGTAAATAGAAATTATGTGAAAATATAATTCCAAAAAATAATATTTCGCTTTGAATATAATTTAAACATTTGAAAAATTGATTTCATTTTAATTCGTACATTAAATCATTACCATAAATAATAATTATGTCAAATTACCTTTATTATAAATTATATTTAGGTTAAATCAACATTATAACATTTCATATTTCGACTTTATGAAAATTAGGTTAAATAAAGATAAGAATAAATAAAAATTAGAGAAATTTAAAATTATACAAAATATAAATTAGATCAAAATATAATTTTTTGCGCATGAAAGTTGATCATATTAGTATTCGAAACAATAACATTTCGTTTAATATACAATTCATGGAAATAGAGGTTAGAACATTTGTCAATTCGACACTTGTGAATTTGACTTAATAAACTTTCGTGGTTTTCATTTTGAGATAAATGTCTGCAACTCCGTCTGTAAATTACTTTTTTTCTACCTGTAATTTACCACGTAATTTACCTGAATAGTTTTCTACCTGAGGTAAATTATCTCATATCACGTGATGCTTTTTGTTTTTTTAACTGTGTCAACCTAACCTCAATTATTCTGTGATTTTCATTCCTTTTATGGCCAATGCAGAATAGAAACGTAACCGGAATCGTAACCGTAAACGCAACCGGAATAATGAGTTAGAGAAGGACAAACAATAAGTCTATCCTTCTCTAACTCATTCCTCCGATTGCGTTTGCGATTACAATTCCGATTACGTTTTTATTCTCTGCTTAGGCCTTCAGCGATTTTACTTCTATGTTTTCGTATTTTTTGAGAATAAATAATGAATAAAGGTGGAAAACTATATAATTGATATAAAAAATTGAATTAATTTGATAATTTTTAATTAATTGTGCTAAAATTAATTTTAATACAATTATTTTTAATTAGAAAGTCTTATAATTAATTATAAAATAATTCGTGATATTTTTTTTTACTGTTCTTTATATAATATTGATTATATTTAGAGGTTTAAATAAGCGCGGTTTTAACTACCAATCACAAGTTTATTTCTGCGCAAGCGCATTTGCGTTTAGTGACCGTCATTTTTGTAGAAGCAGCTTTTGCGTACGTGAATATAGACAGTTGCAATTTGTAAACGTTTTTTTTGTATTAAACACGTTAAACACAATAAATAAAAAGTAAAAAAATGGCATCAATACCATTTATTCCTAACGGTAATTCTCTTAGAGATACTTTGGATAATTCATGTTTCAATATGGGAAATTTATATTTTCCCAATATGTGTCACGTTTGTCGTTGTTTTGGTGAAAATGTTTCTAACCTAAAAACATGTGGTGCTTGCGGTATGATTTCATATTGTTCAAAAGAACATCAAATAAAAGATTGGTCAATGCACAAAGAATTTTGCAATGTTTTGTGTATAATTAAAAAAAAATGGAAAATTAATGACAATTTATATGAATCATTAAAAAATATTGCCGCAAATAATTCTTATTACAATTTAAATAATATTGAAGATAAATTACAATATTATCATTCACTTGAATATTTATCAAAAAAATTAAAAGAAGATGCAGTTTTTTTATTAAAAAGAAAATTAAATAAACTTGAATTAGAAATAATATCATATCCAAGAGTTTGTGCAATTTGTTATGAAACAAAATCTTCTTTACTTATAAATTGCAAAAAATGTCCTCAATTTAATTTATGCAAGGAACACATTAATGATTATTCAAATCATGAAAGTGAATGTTTAAAAATAATTTCTTGTTTTAATGCTGTTAAACAAGAAGATATTTCTCAAATATCATTATTATTGGATAATATAGTAAGAAATATGTTTACAACAACTTATTTGCCTAAGGAAAAAAAATTATCATCTTCAATTCAACAATTTATTGAAACACGTTTAACAATTCATTTGTCTAAATTAAAAATTAATGAAGCAAAATTCACCAATGAAATGCGATTAATTTATTTTTCACATTCAGCCGAACGTTATTCAAGATCGCTTACATTATTGTTTGCCATTGAAAAATTGTCACTTAATAATTTAAATTCAATGACAATACATATTGTTGGAGCGTCATTGTTAGAAGAAGTGGATGATGATTGGGAAATGATTTTCAATTTTTTGCCAAAATTACAAAAATTGACATTGATATTAATTGGTTTAGAATTATTGTCACTTGAAGAGAAAAAAAAAATTAAATCAATTTCTAATACATGCAAAAATAGAAAAAAGAAATTAATCATTGTAACAAAAAATATGGTTTACGATCAATATTGTAGAGATGAAAATTATTTGAAACCAAATATAATTGCGTGTTTTAATCCTGGTTTACACGCCTATTCAACATGGTTAAAATCTATTGATTATTTTAATAAAGAACCATGTCCTTTATTGATAACGGCATTTAATAAAATTGAAGGAATGTTTGATAAAGATATGATTGATTCTAAATATCCATTGGCAAAATGTATTTACAATGATTTTAATCCATTTACAAGTTTACTCTATTTTAGAGAGAGCATTTTTTTGCCTATTTCAACTACAAATCAATTTATGTTTCTTTATCAATCACTTGATGGTGGAAAAAAATGCAATTGATTTTAATATCGTCTTTAAATTGTAAATATATATTTATTAAAATTTTTAGATAAAAAGCCAATATTGAGGAGCAAATTTTCAAAAGCTGATAAATCCATTAAAAAAAAAAAACTTAAATTTAATATTCTAAGGACCTCACAAATTTTCCTTTCACTGTTAAATTTAAGAAAAAAAATTTATTAACGAATTTTCAATTTAAAAACTTTTGGACATAATCAAGATACAGGCCTCGGATTATATGACTTTTTCCGAATTTTTTTTTTTCCAAAAATACGACTTTTTTTGACTTTTTTTTAATAAAATGCGACTATTTCGACATTTTTTTTACATTTTTAAAAAAAATTTTTTAATAAAATTCATTTTTTTTTTTAGTATACAATGCAGATCTTCTTCAGATCTTTTTTATTTCAATTATTTAACAAACTTTTAATTAAAATTCTTCACTAAATTATTTATTTTTAATAATTTTAATAAAATTCTTACCAAATTCAATTATCAATTCAAATTTTTATAAAATTTAATGATTATTTATAAATACAAAAAAAAAAAAAAAAACAAAAAGTAATTAGCAAATAAAATTATCAAAAAATTTTAATTTCAAATCACTTGAAATTTAATTATTCAAAAATTCATTTATCTGAGAGCAAATTTTTAATTAAAAACTTTTGAAATTCAATTATTTCTAAAAATTTCAAATCAAAATCAATTAAAAATTAAATTATTTTCAAAATTTTCATTTCGAAATCAATTAAAATTTAATTATTTCTACAATTTTCCATCTAAAATTCAATTATTTTCGAAATTTTTTTATTTAAAATTAACTTAAATTCAATTATTTTAAAAAAATTTCAATTCAAAATCAATTAAAATTCAATTATTTTCAAAATTTTCAATTCCAAATTAATTTTAATTCAATTATTTTCAAAAATTTCAATTGAATTTCATTTATTTTGAAAATTTTCAATTAAAATACAATTATTTTCAAAATTTTCTATTTAAAATTAACTAAAATACAATTATTTTCAAAATTTTCTACTTAAAATTAACTAAAATTCAATTCTTTTCAAAATTTTCTATCTAAAATCAACTAAAATTCAATTATGTAAAAGCATTTTTCAATTAAAAACTTTTGGAATTCAATTTTTTTAATGTGATTTCTAATAAATTCTTCATCAATAAAAATCATTAGAAATTTTTTTTATTATAATTATTGTCTAAAATTTAAGACAATTTTTTAAAATTCAATTATTTTCAAAAAATTTCAACTTAAACTCTTTCAAAATTATTATTAGAAAAATATTTTTATTTAAAAATCTGTAAAATTTGATTAAGAATTGCCTGAAATTTTTTTTTACCATCAAAACTAAAAATTCTGACAAAATTTTAAATTTGAATAAATTGCTTAAATCAGACTTGAAAGAATTAACTTAAATTCAATTATTTTAAAAACTTTCAATTCAAAATCAATTAAAATTCAATTATTTTCAAAATTTTCAATTCCAAATTAATTTAAATTCAATTATTTTAAAAAATTTCAATTGAATTTCATTTATTTTGAAAATTTTCAATTAAAATTCAATTATTTTCAAAATCTTCAATTTAAAAGCTTCTAAAATTTAATTATTTCTACAATTTTTCATCTAAAATTCAATTATTTTCAAAATTTTTAATTCCAAATTAATTTAAATTTAATTATTTTCCAAATTTACAGTTCTGAATTAATTAAAATTTAATTATTTTCAAAAATTTTCAATTTTGAATTAATTAAAGTTCAATTACCTATATTCAAAAATTTCAATTAAATTTCATTTATTTTGAAAATTTTCAATTAAAATTAAATTATTTTCAAAATTTTGTACTTAAAATAAACTAAAATTCAATTATTTTCAAAATTTTCAATCGAAAATCAACTAAAATTTAATTGTTTTCCAAAGTTTCAATTGAAATTCAATTATTTTTCAAATTTTCAAAATAAATCTTAAAAATTGAATTATTTTGCAAATTTTTAATGGTAATAAATTGAAATTGAAATTCAATTTTTCGAAAATTTAACTATGTGAAATCATTTTTTTCCCAAAACATAAATTATTTTCATTTCTGTAAAATTTAATTTATTCTTTGAAAATTAACAAAATCTTTTGAAATTCAATTATTTCTAAAAATTTTTGATGATTTTTCTTATATAGAATTATTCTCATTGTAGAATTAATAAAATGAATTTAATAGGTATCTAATAACATTTATTAACCAATTAAACTTTTTTTTTAATTGAAAAAAACGACTTTTCCTTTGCCTTAAAGTCGATCCGAGGCCGGAAGATGACTTATAATTTTTGTTTTTTATTAAAAAAATATTATCAAAACTTGTAAATCACTAAATTATGATAAAATTTAATTAAAAACAGAATGTCTTGAATATAAAAATATTATTATAGAAATAAACTATTACATATTTTTTATTTTATATTTTAAAAGTAATTAGTGGTTATGTGAGAAAAGTCATTTGTTTCATTTTCTCGAAATTAGGAAAATATGGATAAGAAAACTTGCTCCTTATATATTAATTGAAATTAGTAATTAATAATTAAAAGGAGAAAAATATATTTCTCCTAAAGCTATAAATAACTATGTATTTGTTTATCCAGTGGGCAACTACTTTAAAATTGTTTAATTTTATTTATTTTCTATTTAAATTTGCCAAGTTTTTTTTTCAAAAATGAAATTTTCATTCGATTTATTTTAATAAAATGCGATTTTTTCAAAAAAAAAAATGTTTTTAACATTTTTTACACTTTTAAATAAAATACGACTTTTTTTTAGTATACAATATGCAGCTTTTCAAAAATTTAATTACTTAACAAATTTTTATCTAAAATTCTTCGCTAAATTAATTATTTTTAATTATTTAAATCAAAATTCTTCAAAATACTCAAATTTTCATTTAACATAATATAATAGGCATTTTAAAGAATTTTTATTGGGTAGAATTTTATTGCATACAATTTTCATTTTATTCTTTCAGATGAATTTTCATTTGTTCGAATTATTATTATTTGATTGAATTTCCATAAAACCAATTTTTCTGCAGAATTGTTACTTAACCGAAAAATCATTTAACAAAATTTCTAATTGATAGAATTTTCATTTGTCCGAAATTGCAAATGACCGAAGCAACAATCAATTTTGGCGCGAATTTTAAAATCAACCAATAAAAAATTATCCATAAAATTGAGATTGGTTGATTTTAAAATTCGCGCCAAAATTGATTGTTGCTTTGGTCATTTGCAATTTCGGACAAATGAAAATTCTATCAATTACAAATTCTGTTAAATGATTTTTCGGTTAAGTAAAAATTCAGTAGAAAAATCGGTTTTATGGAAATTATATCAAATAATAATTCTTTACAATGTCTATTATGTTAAATGAAAATTCGAGTAAATAAAAATTCTGACCAATAAAAATTCAAACAAATAAAAATTCTGTGAAGTGAATTTTCGATTATATAAAAAATTTTGTAATATAGAAAATCGTTTTGATGAAAATTCTTGCAAAATACTAATTTGAACAAATAAAAATTAGGCTCAAAAATAATTATGACAAATGAAATTCAATAAAATGAAAATTCAAACGATTTTTAGAACATAATCATGCATCTATTTAAATCAAGTTTGCCCACTGATGTGTTCTAATAAAAAAATTTGCTCAACGCAAATAATATTTATTTGCAATAAATTAATATATTTGAAAGTAAAATAAAATTTACTAGGTATTATAAAAAAAAAAAATTTTTTTTCTTTCAGCAAATTTGTAATTCAAAAATTGTCACAAGTGTTGTGATATTTGCATAAAGAGAGGAGCATTTAAAAAGCCTATATTCTTCAAAATAATTTTTTAAAAATTATTCTTTATTCTCTTGAGATGTTTTTTCGATATTATTAGTTGGAAAATGTTTAAACGTTTATTAATATATTGTCAATACTGTTTATTACTTTTAATTTGACAAAAATATAAACATGTAATATCAATAAAAATTTATATTTTTTTATAATACATCACGAGCCAACAACATTTTTATATATGTTTCACGATTTTTTAAAACTCCGTCAAACCGGAAGGAAAGCATTAATGTATTATTATAATGTGGGCCTTGAAAATTTTTATTTCTTCGACAAATATTTAACATTTTATCAAAGACATATTGATATGTGTATAGAAATAAAATTTAAACAAATATTAATGTTTTATGAATTTTACCACACATTTTAGATAAATATCAATTTCAACGGATATTTTAAGTCAGAATATTACATTACACGTGGCATTAATATTACACACATTATATTTACTGGTATACGAATTTTCTAATTTCAATATGTTTCTTGTAAAAATTAATTTCACTAGTTTGAGTAGTTTTATAAGTTATACTTATTATTATTATTATTAATAGTAAAAAAATGTAAAAAAATATTAATACAAGTGTTAGAAAACGTCATTATAATTATAATAATATATTTTATTACTATATAGTTAAAGAAGGAATTTGATTAAAGAATTTTATATTTCCTCACTGAAATAAGTCATTGTGTCTATATAAACTTCAAATATAAAATTTAAATTTTTCATCATATGATGAAATAAATTATTATTATGTTGATTACATTTTTTATATAAGTTGCGTATATCTATAAAAAAAATTCAAAAAATTATTTCAATTTTACTTAAATTAACTTCATTTTATTACAGTAAAAATGATATACACCTTATTGGGGGGCATTTTTCTATGCTTTATTTGTAATATTTCAGCAAGTAAGTATTTTTATTAGAATTTTAATAAATATTTTTCAGTTTTTATTACAATATTTTTTGTTTTATGAAATTTATTTTTTTTTTAATAGATTAATAATTGACATGATTAAAAAAAAAAAATGTAAATAAAAATTTATCGTTTCAGATAATTTTAAAGAATGTAAACCAGAAAAATGTGTACTTTTGGAAAAATGCAATAAAACAGTTGATATTATAAATAGAATTAAGAAAACTCAATACAGAGATCGAACTCTATTTGATAAATTAAAAAATTTGCAATGTGACTATAATCAAATTAAAAGAAAACCATATTTTTGTTGCGAGGATGAGGTATGTGTCTATAAATTTTTCTTAGACTCTATTTTTTTTTAAATTTAATATAAAGAAAATTTTTTTTCTTTAAATTTATTGCCCTCATAGCACCGAAACTTTCCTAAAGATTTCCTAAAGATTTATTTGAAATTTTTGGAATATTTCTTGAACATTTAAATAAAATTTTCGCCTAATTATAATTAAAATTATAATCGGGACATTTAAATCTTTATACAATTTTCACTAAACATTTGCAATTAAATATTCCGAACATTTCAAATAAATTTTTTGATAAGAAGTAAAATTCGATCAATGGAAGGCAGAGTGGGCCAGAAGGCGTTCAAAACTGACCAAAAGTTACTCGTTACTCGGGGGTTTTCGGAGTTGCTGATTACGAAGCTGTAGTCAGATTTTCAAAATTCAAAATGGCGGATCCAATATGGCGGACGACTTTTCTAAAAACCGATCCAAATGACCTGAAATTTGTTACTCGGGGGTTTTCGGGGTCGCTGATTACGAATCTGTAGTCAGATTTTCAAAATTCAAAATGGCGGATCCAATATGGCGAACTATGTCTTTAAAAATCGATTCAAATGGCCTGAAATTTGTTACTCGGGGTTTTCACAGTTGATGTTTATAAATCGAAAGTCATATTTAAATAATTGTAATAGGTAATGTATGCTGAGTTTCTGTTTCGCTTTAGTTGAAGCTCGTCAGTACTACGTAAACGATTTTGTTAGTAGTATACCGGAGCAAGGTATATTTACATTATTTACAGTAGAAATTATTTACAATATGAACTATTTACATCATTTACAGTAATAATTATTTAGATTATTTACATGAATAATTACAAGATTTGGGGTATCAAATAATTTATTTGTATCAAATAATAGTTACTTAATAACCTTTAAGCCAATATAATTTAAAATAACATATTAATTTATATTAAAAAACAATACGACTTCACCCCTAAAGGTTTGAAAAGACAGTATAATCTCATAATCACACTATGCAGTGTCCACTAGTAGCATGGAATATTTTGGAAATTTTTTAACTTTTACGACAAAAGTAGCAAAAAGTAGCACATCTATATCTTAAACTATACGTTTCAAAGAGTGCTTAGAGACCTTGACCGACTTTATAGGAAGCGGAAACTAGGGGAAAAGTCATTCGGAAATGAAACATGTCATTTACGACAGCAACAAAGAAAAGAAAATAATGTCTATAATCAAAACAACTGAATATGTAACTGTTTGATTTAACTGTTAATTTTAGCTCTATTGATGTTGTTTAGTAGAAAATTTATGTTTAGAACCTAAAAATCCAAATAAAAATAATTGAAACAGACATACCTATTTTGGTGTATAAAAGGTAAAACAAAAATTTTGAAAATTGAAGATGTAATCGAGTAGTGCTAATACAATAATGTATTATTTGACAAAATATTTTGGATATTCGTAGCAAATCTATCTCTGAAAATGATTACATAATTGTCATCTATCAATTTAAACCTTGACTTTTGGCCAGTTTTGAACGCCTTCTGGCCCACTGTGGAAGGTAAAGAAAACACATAAAACAGATTTATGTTATTTTGTCAAGTTGCGACGTTTCGATGGTTTAATTAATTTTTAACGATAATTTGAAAAATGGATTCTAACATTGACTAGTTGCAATGTAATATTATTTTAAATATTCAGCCTGAAGAAGATGGTAAACCAAACCATCGAAACGTCGCAACTTGACAAAATAACATAAATCTGTTTTATCTGTTTTAACCTTCCGTGGATCGAATTTTACTTCTTATCAAAATATACACTTGGAAGGGAATTTCTCATTCATATTTAAAATTTCAAATAAATCTTTAGGAAAGTTTCGGTGCTGTGGGGATGAATTCGATCAGTTGAGATTTTTGATCAATTTATTTTTTTATAAATACATTAAAAAGTTATTTTAGAGAAATTAAAATTATTCCAAGTAACAAAGTTCTTGATTTATTGTGATTTTATTGTATTGCTATAAGTTTAATAAAACTTGATGATGAATTTTTTTTTTCATATAATAGGAAAACAAAGAAACTGACAATGTGCCTCAAAATATTTCAAATCATCCAAATCTTAAATTATTTGGTAAAACGCAATTTGAATGTGGAAGTATTCGATACAATCCTCAAAGTTTAAATTCAAATTATAATGAAGCTAAAGAAGACGAAAGTCCTTGGACTGCATTAATTCAATTTAAAAACAGAACTGTGTGTTCTGGTACTTTAATTAATAATCGATATGTTTTAACTGCTGCTCATTGTATTAAACCTTTCTTGCTTTGTAAGTATAATTTTTAAACAAAATTTATATTTAAAATAATAGGAACTACAGTAGTTGCGGTAAATTTACATTTATTGTTGTTTAATAAATTAATTATTTTTATTTTTTGGAGAATTTTCAAAAATTACCGATTTAAAGATACCCAGATAGAACGGAAACTTGCAGCAAGCTTGCGGCAAGTTCACCGTGCAACCTTGTCTGAGATAGCGAAATGTTCCACCCAGGGCAAGCTTGCCGTGAAAGCTTTCTGTAAGCTTTCCAGGAAAGGTTGCTGCAATCTTGCAATGAAAGATTGCTGCAAGCATACTAAAAATGATTGCGGCAAGCTTGCCGTGAAAGATTGCTGTAAGCTTGCTATGTAAAGTTGCAGGAGAATTTCAACAAGCTTCTGGAATGGTTGCTGCAAGCTTGCTTCAATTTTTAAAAAATACATTTTAAATTAAAAAAAAATTTATTTGTTTTTTTTAAATTTGAAAATCCTTGTGACGTTTATTATTAATAATTATGTCCTGTTTATTTTTATTTGGAAACTTAAGGAGAAAATTTTTGAAACAAATTTGAGGGGACTGGGAATTGAACTTGGGTTCAACAGGCACTAACCAAAAACCCCTAACCGAGAACCTACTCGACCAACTATCAGAGAATAAAAAAATCTTGCTCTTAACCCTCGACTGTTTTTATGAGTTGAAAAATAGTTGAAAAACGAGGGTTAAGAGCAAGATTTTTTTATTCTCTGATAGTTGGTCGAGTAGGTTCTCGGTTAGGGTCTTTGGTTAGTGTCTGTCGAACCCGGGTTCAATTCCCAGTCCCCTCAAATTTGTTTCGAAAATTTTCTTCTTAAGTTTCCAAATAAAAATAAACAGGACATAATTAATAATAATAAACGTCACAAGGATTTTCAAATTTAAAAAAAACAAATAAATTTTTTTAAAATTTAAAATGTATTTTTTAAAAATTGCAGCAAGCTTGCAGCAACCTTTCCAGAAGCTTGTTGAAATTCCCCTGCAACTTTACGTAGCAAGCTTACAGCAATCTTTCACCGCAAGCTTGCCCCGGGTGGGACATTCCGCTAGCTCAGACAAGGTTGCACGGTGAACTTGCCGCAAGCTTGCTGCAAGTTTCCGTTCTATCTGGGTAGTATTTTAGAACAGCGGATATTTTAATGTTTAAATAATCTTTTCTGAACCCGGCGAACCAGACGGTAAATTTCAGTACTATGCAAATGTTTTTATACTCTTCCTATTTTACTTCCTGTCGTTTTATATGTGAATAAATCTTTAATTTCTTGGAGGCAAATGAAAGTACATAAACTTAGGATAACTGGTATTTTTTCCGATTTTGCCATTTCTGTCCGAATTAGGAGAATAATATATTTTTGAAATTAAATGTACTTCATATTATTAAAAGACATATGTTATATGTCAACAACCGTTTTCCATGTTTAAAATATGAGTAAAATTGATAAAGAAGAATAACATAATAATAACATAAGAATAACATTGTGTCGTGTGTTTGTTTTCCCTTCAGTTATCTGACGTCATACTCGAACTCGAGATATCTCGATGAACTGACAGCCTAATTGTCCCCACTCGACCATTTATCATAATTCTCGTCAACTACCGCACCCTGCTCTAGTGAAAATTTAGTAACTTTATAGTGAGTTTTAATTTTAACAAATAAAGTCACTAAATTTTCACTAGAGCAGGGTGCGGTAGTTGACGACAATTATGACAAATGGCGAGTGGGGACAATGGAAACCAACCAACTATTGTGCTTAAACTGTTTTTACAATAACTTTGTTTTTTCATCGACATGAACAAAAATCCATTGTCGAAATTATACGCGCTCATTTTTTTAACAGTAAATTTTATTCACGTAAATAACAATATCAATGATAAATATTTAATTTTTTTTTCCTCTTTTTGTTCTATTGTGATTGGCGATCTATTGACTTTTATCTACTTCGTCAGACATTTTGGTTTTTATTTCTCTTTATATCGTGTTAATTAAAAAAAGACGAAAAAGGAAAATGGTTGTCCGAAGTAGGTAAACACCAGATGGCGTATTGAAGTTTAGCCAATCCCAATTCCCATATAATCACAGTACCTGAATGTTCAGTTCCATAACTGATTGAAATCTCATTCTAAATATTTTTCATTTTTATCATAATTTGTATTATTATTATTATTATTATTATTGTTCTTAATATTATTTCAGACCTTAAAAACATTAAAATAATATTGGGAGACTACAATATTATGACAAATCCTGACTGTAAAACACAATGGTGGAATAAAAAAACTATCTGTAATGAAATTGAAGTTGTAGGAATCGATACAATACACGCTCATCCTAAATATTCCAAAAAAGACATAACCAATGATATTGCTTTAATAAGATTGGACAGATATATTGAATTTTCAGATACTATTGATCAAATTTGTCTTCCATTTGATAATGAAGTTTCTATAAATAATTATCCGGTAATTATAAATACGCCATTCACTTTGTTTATAAAAAAGAAATTATTAATTAATTGTTAATTGAAAAATCGTGACATTTCTATAATAATTTTATTAGTTCGTGGCGTAATGTAGTTGGTTTCCATTGTTCTCACTCGACATTTGTCATAATTTTCGTCAACTACCGCACCCTGCTCTAGTAAAAATTTAGTGACTTATAGTTTAAATTAAAAGTTAATATAAAGTCACTAAATTTTTACTAGAGCAGGGTGCGGTAGTTGACGAGAATTATAACAAATGGCGAGTGAGGACAGTGGAAACTATAACCAATGTATAAACGCCACGAACTAAAAAAATTATTATAGAACGAAGTTTTACGATACGACTCTTGGTCGTATATGCCTACCTTTTTTTGTCCTTTTCTAACTCACATGTTGTCATATGGCAACACGTGCGTTAGAAAAGGACAAAAAAGTGTAGGCATATCTGGCCACGAGTGGCCTAATGAAGTTGGCAACGATTGGGTACATAATTACTATTAATTAAATTTTTTTATAATTATAAATTTTTTTTTTTACAGTATGATCTTTATGGTCGTGGAATATCTATGCGCAACAGTGCTGAAACAAAAATTCCAATAAAAACTATGGTTCAAGTTATCGAAAATTCTGAATGTGAGTCATTGTATAAATTGTATAACTGGCCAAGAAAAATAGATGATACTATGGTTTGTGTAAAACACTTAAAAACACCACGAACTTGTATACCAGATGATGGTGGAGATCTTTCTGCTCATGATCAACATCTCAGCCAAAAATATCAATTTGGTATTGGTAGTTTTAATTGGAGTCGATGTACTTTAAATTTGCCATTTGTCTATACGAAAATTTTCCATTACTTAAAATGGATTTTGGATACAGTTAGAGCATAAGATTGGATAATGAAAAACAAATTTGTTTTAAACATTCTGCCACTCATTAATTCTTTTTTTAATGGATTTTTTAAATAATATACTTTATGGAATATAAATTCTATTTTTAGATGAATTTTCTTGTTTTATAAGGGAAATATATGAAAAATCAATAAATAAATAACTTTACTTTTAAAATGAATTTTTTTACTTAATTACAAAAAAATATTACAAGTTTCATTTATAATATTAACGACAGCTATTACAAATATTCCACTATTATTGTCAAAGAACTAATATAATTTTTTAATAAACTGTAAAAAAATGAAGTATTTTAAGTCGATCCAGTTTTAATTTACCACTTTATATCTAGAAATATACTTTTTTTTAAATCATTTTTTGAAAATTCTTGCTAGAATAACATTTCCAATTGCATTAAGCTGGATTTGCAATACTTTATTTTTTACAAGGTATATATATATAAATTTCTATATGATATTCTTATTATTATTTTTTTACAATGAATATTTATTGTATGTAAAGGACAGTTTTTCTAAAATTAACGAATTTAAAATAAAAAAATTCAATTTATAATATTTTATATTTATTAACTTATTTAATTACAATTCACCTAACAGAAGGATGTCATTGTCCCCACTCGCCATTTGTATCATAATTCTCGTCAACTGCCGCACCCTGCTCTAGTGAAAATTTAGTAACTTTATAGTGAGTTTTAATTTTAACAAATAAAGTCACTAAATTTTCACTAGAGCAGGGTGCGGTAGTTGACGACAATTATGATAAATTGCGAGTGGGATATCCTATATACTTTCCTTCCGCTTTGACGATATTTGAAAAAATAATGAAATTTCTATACTAATTTTATTAGTCCACGGCGTATGGTGTATAAATTACGCCATGTACTAATATAATTTTTGTAGAAGTCCTTTCGATTTGACGACATTTAAAAAAGTCGTTACATTTCTATAATAATTTTATTAGTTCGTGGCGTAATGGGTTGGTTTCCATTGTCCCCACTATAGCCATTTGTCATAATTCTCGTCAACTACCGTACCCTGCTCTAGTGAAAATTTAGTGACTTTATAGTTTAAATTAAAAGTTACTATAAAGTCACTAAATTTTTACTAGAGCAGGGTGAAAATTATGACAAATGGCGAGTAGGGACAATTGAAACTAACAAACCTACTGAGCCTAAGCTACTTCTACAATAAGCCTAAGAAAAGGACAGTTAGAATCAACAAGGTTGGTTAGTAGTCAATATTATCATAAACAGGATCCGTTATGTTTACAAAATAATTCCCCATACGCCACGAACTAATAAAATTATTATAGAAATGTCACGAATTTTCAAAATGCCATCAAAATGAAAGGACAGCATAATATGTAATTTGGTGCACATAAATTTTGTTACATATTTACGTTATTTTTAAATGTAACTAATTCATTTATATAATAGATATTTTTTAATTAATTTAAATTGCAATTAATTTTTTTTCTCAGAAAAGAAGTCCTTTCTTCTCTTTGTTACATGCGATTGATATTATATATGAACAATAATGATTATGATTGTGCCATTAAAATGTTCAATAAAATAAAATTTTGTTAATGATGTTTAGAGGCCTTTTACAGTTAAGATGTTTATTTATTGTTTGACATAAAGTTGTTACAACATGTTTCGGCTATTTAGCCCTCATCAGGTAAGTCAATGCACTTTTTTTCTTTTTAAATAATTATAAGTATAACAAACAAACATAAGACAAATACGTAAGTAAAACAAAATCTGTAATAAAAGGATTTCGATGTTATTTATTAAATTATTAAAATTGAAATAGAGAATTAAATTATTAAAATTAATAAAATTGAAATAGAGAATTAAATTATTAAAATTAAAAGAATAAAAGACTCACCACGTGTTTGATCACATTATTTTAATTTATTATTTTGATTTAAATAATTAAAAAAAAAAATTAAAAATTGAAAAAATTAGAAATTTTGAAAAAATTCAAATTTAAGAATCCATGGTGAATGAATATTTCATGGTGTTCCATGGTAATATAGATGTTATGGCAGATTTCGAAAAAGTGAAAGGAAAAATGTTTGAGGTTATGATAAAAAGTTAAAAAAAATCCCTGTGTTATCATGTAAAATATTAATTTGAGTTTAGAAGATTGATGATAAAATAGAGTCCTATATTAACCTATGTAGAATTAATGTGGTAATTTTGAAAATTTAGAAGAATTCGAAAAATTATATTGGAGAATCCGTTATTATTGAAAAATATATTTTGCTTAGATTTTGTGTGTCTGTATTAAAATTTACATGGTTTAATTTATTACTTTGGATGTGTATCATTTCTAAAAATTTTCTTTTATAATTATTATAATTCTTTTATAATTTTATAATTCTTCAAAGACATACTTACAGTTTTTGATCACATTAATTGCATTTATAAAATCCCATGTAAAAATTGCTCTAAGAGTTATATTGGAGAAACCCGTAGACATTTATCAGATAGAATTAATGAACATAAAAGAGATATTTCTCACAAATCAACAAACACAGGTCTATCGTCTCACACTTACAATACAAAACATAATTTTGATTTTGAACACCCCAAAGTATTAGAAACAGAAGAAAATAATTATAAAAGAAAATTTTTAGAAATGATACACATCCAAAGTAATAAATTAAACCATGTAAATTTTAATACAGACACACAAAATCTAAGCAAAATATATTTTTCAATAATAACGGATTCTCCAATATAATTTTTCGAATTCTTCTAAATTTTCAAAATTACCACATTAATTCTACATAGGTTAATATAGGACTCTATTTTATCATCAATCTTCTAAACTCAAATTAATATTTTACATGATAACACAGGGATTTTTTTTAACTTTTTATCATAACCTCAAACATTTTTCCTTTCACTTTTTCGAAATCTGCCATAACATCTATATTACCATGGAACACCATGAAATATTCATTCACCATGGATTCTTAAATTTGAATTTTTTCAAAATTTCTAATTTTTTCAATTTTTAATTTTTTTTTTTTTTTTTTTTTTTTTTAATTATTTAAATCAAAATAATAAATTAAAATAATGTGATCAAACACGTGGTGAGTCTTTTATTCTTTTAATTTTAATAATTTAATTCTCTATTTCAATTTTATTAATTTTAATAATTTAATTCTCTATTTCAATTTTAATAATTTAATAAATAACATCGAAATCCTTTTATTACAGATTTTGTTTTACTTACGTATTTGTCTTATGTTTGTTTGTTATACTTATAATTATTTAAAAAGAAAAAAAGTGCATTGACTTACCTGATGAGGGCTAAATAGCCGAAACATGTTGTAACAACTTTATGTCAAACAATAAATAAACATCTTAACTGTAAAAGGCCTCTAAACATCATTAACAAATTATAATAAAAACAGTTTGAAAGAAATCTAACATAAAATAAAATTTTGTTTATCATTTTTAAACTCCATTCTTTTTACACGCTAAAATTGAAATTTCTCTCTCGTATAACATAATTACATAAATCTTATTCTAAAATTAATTTTACATTCTTTGGAATTTGAGTATTTCGTTTATATTATATATCGATATATATAAATGACGCGCTCTGAAGAAAGGGGGCTAAGATGCAAAAAAATTGTAGGTTATGTTTTAAAATTTTTAAGTGAAAATACACAAAGGGGATTAATTTTTAATAAAATCTGATTTTGATTTTACATAAATAAAAAGGAACTGCAAATCAAGGTAAAATTATTCTAAACGTAACCTATAATTCGTTTGGAAGATCGCCATTTTTGTCATAATTCTCGTCAACTACTGCACCCTGCTCTAGTGAAAATTTAGTAACTTTCTAGTAAATTTTAATTTTAATAATAATATCACTGAAGTTTTACTAGAGCAGGGTGCAGTAGTTGACGAGAATTATGTCAAATGGCGAGTTGAGACAATGGCAACCTTCCGTTTTCTTCTTAGGACCCTTTCTTCAGAGTGTGTCACATACATAAAAGTTATATTGTGTTTGTTAGCATAAGTAACATCTAAATAGTTGTACATTTAATTGAATAATTTTTCTTAAAACTTATTTTACTTTATTACACTCTCTAAATTGTAATCTAAAATATTTTTAAAAAAAAATTTTTTCCAAATTATATTTAAAATGTATTAAAAAATGATTTTAAAAAATTGTTGTATTTTTAAAAGGGTATATAAAACAGATTTTGTAATTAATCAAAGAAATTACATAAAAAATACAATCATATTTAGTCGTGAATAATGTTTTGCATCAGTATAAAATATATTATTTCCAATTTCAAAAATTGCGGTCATTTTATTTTTTACGAAGATACTACTTAGGGTACGGTCACACTATCTCATGCATGCATGCAGAAACATTTGGCCGGTCACACTTCAATGAAATCTAGTGAATGTTTAGTAACTTATTTCTAGTAATTTTCCAAAAATTTCGGTTGTAACTAGAAAGTTACTAAACATTCACTAGATTTCGTTGAACTGTGACCGGACAAATGTTTCTGCATGCATCCATAGTGCATGCATGAGATAATGTGACCGTACCCTTATTATGAATTTTCATTTTAGTCTACATCTATCAATAGTAAATTTTCCCCAGTTTAAGAAACCTAAAAATTTTTTTCTTAGATTAACCAGTTTTTTAGATAAATATTTAACATTTTTAATTGATATTCATTAGAATAGTATAAATTTTGTTTTTTATTAAAGAACATTTCAAAAAAAAATTCTACGATTTTATTTTGAAAAATTATTCTGAAAATTGAATGAAATCGTTTTCATTTTTTTTTTTTTTAAAGATAATTTGATTATAGACAGTTAAAAATTATAAGGACATTCTGGTTTCGAACAATCACGAAATTCGACAAGTGGTGGACATAATTTTCCATTTTTTTTCGGTTGAACTTTAATTTTTTTTGTTTTATATTGTACAGAATCTCCACATGTGGCACTGCACTTTGACCATCTGGACCATTGACTTACTTGACAATCAACAGACATTTCTGTGAAAGAAATTAATTAAAAATTTCACTCAATTTTTCTTTTTTACAAGTAGAAATAAAAATTTCTTTGAAATAAGGAAATCTTTTTTTTTAAATCACTTTTTAAATCCAGGATGTAATTTGTTTGAAGTAAAAAAAGTTTTCTTTGATTATACGAAAAAAATTTTTTAATTATAAGGAAATTATTTCTTTATAAATATTTTTAATCTAAAGAAAAATTTCTTTGAATCAAACAAATATTTCTTTCGAACTTTATTAGGCTGAGTTACCACTACTACGTTTACGCAGATTGTGTAAATTCGTTAATAAATGTTTTTTATTTAAAGAAATTTTGTGCGTTAAAATAAAAATTTATTTCTTTGATTCAAATAAAAAATTTCGTAAAATCAAATAAATATTTTCTTCCGATGAGGAGTTCTTTATTAATTTCAATTTATCATAATTTTAATTGATTTTCAATAATTTAAAAAAAATATTTTTTCTATTATTATTAACTCACCGTCATTAGTATATTCTTCCATCATTGGATCATCGTCTTTACTTCGGCGTCTTATATTCATGACACTTTTTTCAGCCACTGGACAAATAAAAAAAACAGATAATTAAAGTTTCTAAAAAGAATTTTAAAAAAATACAAAAATTAAGCATTAACTTACAGCAGGCTGGTGATTTGTTGCATTTTTTCTTTTTTGTTAATTTTTTTGGACACTTTCTCCCGCCATTTCGTGCTTCCGTCTATTTTGAGAAAAAAAAATGTTATTGAATTTAAAAATTAATTGAAGTTCCTAATATTAAATTGAATTAAATTTTTTTTATACATCCAATTGCATAAATGCTGTTCCTTTCGGTTTAAAGGCATTTTGAAAAGTGGTAATTTTTCTATTATAATTTTATTAGTTTGTGGCATATGGGAATTATTTTGTAAACATAACGGATCATGTTTAAGATAATATTTACTACTACCCAACCTTGCTAACTTTGTCATTTTCTTTGGCTTATTGTAGAAGTAGCTTAAGCTCAGTAGTTCACGAACGTGATACATGAGTTAGAAAAGGACAAAGATATATATTTGTGTCGTTGTCTGTCTCATGTACCTCCTTCGCAAATGGTCTTCACGAAACTATTGTGCATTGGCCATAACCAAAGTTTACGGTTGGTTTCCATTGACCCCACTCGCCATTTGTCATAACTCTCGTGAACTATCGCACCCTGCAGTAGTGAAAATTTAGTTACTTTATTGTTAAAATTGAAAGTTACTATAAAGTCATTAAATTGTCACTAGAGCACAGTGCGGTAGTTGATGAGAATTATGACAAATGGCGAGTGGGGACAATGGAAACCAACCAATGGAGAGTTAGAGTCAGCACGGTTGGGTAGTAATTAATATTATCTTAAAGAGGATCCGTTATGTTTACAAAATAATTCCCATACGCCACGAACTAATAAAATTATTATAGAAATTTCACGACTTTTCAAAATTCCTTCAAACCGGAAGGACAGTATTTATGCAATTGGGTGTATAAAAAATTACCTTTTTTTCACGAAAACTGAATGAATCATCACTACAACCCGAGCATTCAGACCATTTGCTCCATTCGCTAACAACACAATCTACTTTTCCTCCATATTCTTCAGTGGCTTCAATTACTTGACTTCCAGTTTGTAATCCATTAAATTCTTCATTAGATATTTCTGAACCTTTGAAAAAAAAATGATTTCCTATATTTAAATATCGAAGAATTATTAAGTAACACGCAGAATTTATAAATGTCTACTTAAAAATCATATTATATAGAATAATTAACAATTATTTTTTTTAAAAAAATATAAATTTTCACCAGTTTTGGCGCGTTTTGATTTTGCACTGCGTTGCTCTTGAATTGGAATATGGTAACTAAGAACACTGCTGATTGAAACTTGAAAGTGTTTTGTAGAACTTGAATGATTCGTTTTGATATCCTCTGATTATTTATTGTTAGTAAGCGTGCATTTAATTAGAAAACAATTAATTAGTAAAGGTGTTTTTGTAAACTTGCAGATTAGATTCATGTTTTCCATAATTAGTATTTGTTACATATCACGCATATAATTTATTGTATGATTCCAATTATAAAAGACACACGTTTTCTAGTTCTTGCTGAATTATAACTTACTTTGAATTACTTTGCAAAATTCACGACAATCTTTATCCGTTGGAAAATTATTTCTAGATCCTTCGCAACCAGAATAACTAAAATGCTTACAAACACCAGCGTCTTTATCGTAATAAAAACGAATAATATTCGCCGAACAAGTGCCAGCATCCTTAGGCTCGAGACATATTTCTATAAAGAAAAAAAATACGAATACTGTAACCTGATGGTTTTAGTATTTTTAATTTATATAAATTAATTTAAAACAGTCCAGGTTTTTTTTAATTTGCTAAACCTAATTAGGGTTGGTTTCCATTGTCTCCACACGCCATTTGTCATAATTCTCGTCAACTACCGCACCCTGCTCTAGTAAAAATTTAGTAACTTTATTGTTAAAATTAAAAGTTACTTTAAAGTCACTAAATTTTCACTAGAGCAGAGTGCGGTAGTTGACCAGAATTATAACAAATGGCGTGTGGGGGACAATGGAAACAAACCCTAATTAGGTTTGTTTCGCAAACCACTGGAGATTTCTAGAACTTCCATAGGATATTCTGAATATTCGATTGCTGTTAGGGAACATTTACTGTAATGTAAGCAAATTTTCGAAGGAAATAAATATTTTTTATTATTAACTTATCATAATTTTTAATTAAAAAATCGATTGGTTTCCATTGTCTCCACTCGCCATTTGTTATAATTCTCTTCAATTACTGCACCCTGCTCTAGTGAAAATTTAGTGACTTTTTTGTTAAAATTAAAAGTTACTAAATTTTCACTAGAGCAGGGTGCGGTAGTTTACGAGAATTATGACAAATGGCGAGTGAGGACAATGATTATTATTACCTATTCTTATTCTTATTATTATTATTATTATTAGTATTATTATAATAAAGTTGTTACCTTTAGCTTCTTCTGGAGTGAAATCACAACTGCTTATTTTCGCAGTACACGCAGACTGTTGGACTGTACATTCCTGAAGATTATCTTCTTCATCTCCACTGTCCTGTACTTCTTCTCCCACATTATTAAAATTTTTTTCAATTATTCGAGAACGCATTGTAACACCTGGTCCACAACTTGAACTGCATGGAGACCAAAGAGACCATTCGGAAAATCGTGAGTTTGGACAGAGCTGTTTATAAATATTAATATTGTAAAATAAATTTCGTATAATGTGCAACATAAACTGGTGTAAAATATTTTACTAGAAGTCCTGACTAGCGTAATTTTAGGAAAGTGTTTGAAAGGATGTGATTGTTCCCACTCGCCATTTGTATTATAATTCTCGTCAACTACCGCACCCTGCTCTAGTGAAAATTTAGTGACTTTATTGTTAAAATTAAAAGTTACTTTAAAGTCACTAAATTTTCACTAGAGCAGGGTGTGGCAGTTGATGAGAATTATGATACAAATGGCGAGTGGGGACAATGGCATCCTTCAGTTTACGTTACGAATTCTAGTCAGAATTTTATTATTTTTTTACATATTAAGTTATATTTTAGCAGTATGTTAATAAATTTTTTCAGATTATTTATAAACTCAGCAAATATTATTGTCAGTTTTGTTACACGCTACCATCAGTTGGTATTCTAGATTTCTGCAATGAATCATGATTTAGCTATTAAATTAATTTTACCTTGACTAATGTCCTCATTAACCAAAATTCTCGGTCAACTATCGCACCCTGATCTAGTGAAAATGTGACTTTATAGTAACTTTTGATTTTAATTAGAATGTTACTAAATTTTCACATAGATCAGGGTTGGGTAGTTGACGGAGAATTATGACAAATGTCGAACGGGAACTTTGGTCAATGGGGACATTTAGCATCCTTCCGTTCTTCTATCACTCACTGCTTTTTTATCGACTTTGGTGAGAAAGTTTGTGTATGTTACAAGCGATTTAACGCAGGGGATTACCCGTTCTAATCAATCGCGTCAAATTGGTGCGAAAAATAATAGAATCTTTCTCAGCAACAAACTGACATTTTGATAATATTAGCAGATTTATAAATAGGACTTGTCGATAAAGTAGATTTCCATTTGCTTTGTTGATAAATAAATTAGAAATTATTGTCAAATTTTAAAAATGACTTATTACAAAGTGAAACTATAACTCTAAACAATTAGTAAAATGAATAACTTACTGCGATACTTATATATATAAGCACTAACTTTCATGAGAAAGCTGAAGTGGAATGACGACACGAGAAATGGCCAAGTGACACTGTTTTATATAATGTTAGTGAAATTAAAATAATTTAATATTGTAAACAATTTCAATTGAATTTCAAGCAGGTTTCTTTTCCATAGTAAATTATTTTTAAATTCAGTTAATATGAAATATGATTCTGATGATTAGTCAAAAGTGAAAAAATGCGTTTCTTTATATTAATCAAAGAAATATTAATTAATCTCTAATAATAATAATAATAATTAGAGAAAATTAATTACAATTTTTAATGATTGAAAAGAGGTGTCTTCATACCTCTCGCCATTCCTCGATTATCTCCACTTCCTCTTCCGAATCATCATCTTCACCATTATCATCCTCAGGATTGTCATAATTTTCAGTTGTAATTTCAGTGACAGTTTCAATGTCACTGGATTCGACAGATGTTCTTACCTCCTCACAAGGTTCTTCCTCGCATTGTTGACATGGTGGAAGATTACAATTTCGTGTTTGTTCTAAACGTGGTGGTTTTGAAACATTTCTACAATGTTTCTGATGTTTTTTATAGATAAAATTACGTTTTCGTGATTGTACCGATGGTGCACACGATGATGAACATTCACTCCACGAAGTCCATTGTTCCAATTCGCATTCTTTACTATTGAGAATTGCCGCATCTTTTGCTGACAGTTCACTTTAAGAAAAAAATAGAAAAAAAAAATTATTACTTCAATTTATTTTTTCATTTTCAGTAAAATTGATTTTTCTGCTCATTTAGAGGGATGAAATTCTAAATTAATTCAAAAAGGGAGGGGTTAAATAAATATTTAAAGGGGGGTTTAAATATATAAAGTGGGATATTTTTACCATGGCCCTCCTCCACCATAACAAATTTTTCTATCTGATTGAGATTCTTTACAATTTGTTTTTGTTGCTGCATAATTGTCAATAAAGTGCCTTTGTCTTAAGCTTGTTCCTTGACCACAATTAACTGAACAATTGCCCCATTCTCCCCACGATGTCATTCTGCAAGCTTCTACAGAAAATGATATTTCATTCTAATTATTAGTATTATTACTATTAAATAAAAATATATAAGTAGAGAACAGTTTTTTAAAGTCATGTTATAAAAAGCATTATGCAACAATTAATGTCATATAAATAATAATTTACATTTTAAACCAAGAATTAATATAATTAGTATAAAGCAAAAAACTGGGGCAATAGTATTGATTAAAGAAATTAACAATTTCTATTTTTAATTATTTTTTTCTACTGTATAAAAGCAGATAAATAAAAAAAGCAAGTGCAATATATCTTAATAGTGCATTCAATATAAAAAAAACTTAAAAAATCGCTACATGTAGTTTGAAAAAAAAAATTTTTTTAAACCCAATTGAATAAATGCTGTCAATCCACTTTAGCGACATTAGGAAACGTCGTAACCTTTCTATAATAATTTTATTAGTTCGTGGCGTATGAGAATCATTTTGTAAACATAACAGATCCTGTATAAGATAATATTGACCCAACTTTGATTATACTACTACCCAACCTTGTTGACTCTAACTGAGTTGATTTCCATTGTCCCCACTCCCTATTTGTCATAATTCTCGTCATCTACCACACCCTGCTCTAGTAAAAGTTTAGTAACTTTATAGTAACTTTTAATTTTAACAATAAAGTCATTATACCGCAGGGTGCGGTAGTTGACGAGAATTATGACAAATGGCGAGTGGGGACAATGGCAACCTTCCATACACCTCGATCCTTAAGGACTAAACACAGTAACATTGTAAATTGCCCCCCTTCCGCTATGACGGCACTTTGAAAAGTCGTGAAACTTCTATAATAATTTTATTAGACCCTGGCATATGGTGTATTTATTGATTACATCATATGCCACGAATTCATAAAATTATTATAGAAGTGTCACGACTTTTCAAAATGCCGTTAAAACCGGAAGGACATCATTTATGCAAATGGGTGTATGTTAATATAAAATGTAAAAAAATATGATGTTAGCAAACAAAAGAAAAAAAAACCAAAGAATACTTGCTATTTTTAGATTTTTTATGTCGACCACCTGAATTTGATGGTTTTTGTGGCATGCCTTCACAAACTTTTTCGTAAATTCTTTGACGACTTATATGAAGTTTCGCCATTGGTTTCATGTCACTGTTAAATGGATCGAAAAAAGGTGATCCACTGTCATTTGGAAATGATGTAGTGATGCGACGTATGACTTGTTGAGGAATCGTTGGCACATCGTCGGCCTTAAAGGAAAAAAAATAACAATTTTTCACAAAAAATTGAGAAAAGTCAATCAAGTATTAGTCAAGGGAAATTTGTTAAAATATATCGATGCAACCTTTATTATATCAAGCATGGCGAGCGTGATTTAGTCTAACCTGACTTTTATGTACTTTGTATATCCCTGGCGGATTAAGACCTGAGCAGAATAGCAACGAAACCGTAATCGTAATCGTTAACAGAAGAATGGGTTAGAGAAGGATAGTCATATATTGTTATTCTTCTCTTACTAATTCTTCCGTTTGCGATTGCGATTACGATTCTGGTTACGTTTCTATTGTGCTTAGGCCTTTAGGTAAACTGAGTTGTAATATATTGACGCTAATTGACGAAATATGTTGGAAATGATTAGACATTTAGAGAGTTGATTTATGCAATAATAAGAATAAATTAAGTTAAATTTCTTTCAAACTGTTTTTATTATAAATTTGTTAATGATGTTTAGAGGCCTTTTACAGTTAAGATGTTTATTTATTGTTTGACATAATGTTGTTACTACATGTTTCGGCTATTTAGCCCTCATCAGGTGAGTCAAATGCACTTATTTTCAAATAAGTATAACAAACATAAGACAAACACATAAGTAAAACAAAATCTGTAATAAATAAAAAGATTTCGATGTTGTTTATTAAATTAGAAAATTAAATTATTAAAATTAAAAGAATAAAAGACTTACCACGTGTTCGATCACATTATTTCAATTTACTAGCTTGATTAATTTATTTAATTTAAAAAATTAAAAAATTAGAAATTTAAAAAAAAATTCAAATTTAAGAATCCATGGTGAATAATGAATGTTTTATGGTGTTCCATGGTAATATATCTGTTATGGCAGATTTCGAAAAAGTGAAAGGAAAAAATGTTTGAGGTTATGATAAAAAGTTAAAAAAATCCCTGTATTATCATATATATAAAATATTAATTTAAGTTTAGAAGATTAATGATAAAATAGAGTCCTACATTAACCGATATGGAATTAATGTGGTAATTTTGAAAAATTTAGAAGAATTCTAAAATATTACATTGGAGAATCCGTTATTATTGAAAAATATATTTTGCTTAGATTTTGTGTGTCTGTATTAAAATTTACATGGTTTAATTTATTACTTTGGATGTGTATGATTTCTAAAAATTTTCTTTTATAATTATTTTTTTCTGTTTCTAATACCTTGGGGTGTTCAAAATCAAAATTATGTTTTGTATTGTAAGTGTGAGACGATAGACCTGTGTTTTTTGATTTATGAGAAATATCTCTTTTATGTTCATTAATTCTATCTGATAAATGTCTACGGGTTTATCCAATATAACTCTTAGAGCAATTTTTACATGGGATTTTATAAATACAATTAATGTGATCAAAATCTTAAATTTGAATTTTTTTTTTAATTTTTCAAATTTTTAATTTTTTAATTTTTAAAATTAAATAAATTAATGAAGCTAGTAAATTGAAATAATGTGATCGAACACGTGGTAAGTCTTTTATTCTTTTAATTTTAATAATTTAATTTTCTAATTTAATAAATAACATCGAAATCTTTTTATTTATTACAGATTTTGTTTTACTTACGTGTTTGTCTTATGTTTGTTATACTTATACTTATTTGAAAAGTGCATTGACTTACCTGATGAGGGCTAAATAGCCCAAACATGTAGTAACAACGTTATGTCAAACAATAAATAAACATCTTAACTGTAAAAGGCCTCTAAACATCATTAAAAAGAATAAATTAAGTCATAATTAATGAATAACAAGTGTGTTTAAGTCATTAACGCACAAAATTTGTAGTCCAACTTTAATTTGATGATATTTTATAAAAAAAATCATTAATTTTTTTCGGCAAGACCATATATTACATATTTTAGTGTGCTCTATCCAAATATGCCATCAAAAATTACGTAAAAAAATTTTTTTATATTATTTTTAAAACAATAATTGCAAAATTGCACGATTTTTTCATGACTTTTTATTAAAAATTTAATAATTTAAAAGAAAAAAAATTTTTAGCTTAATTATAATTATATTTCATTTAAATTTTTAGAAAAGTTTCGCACTAAACATTTATTTAAGTGGGACATTTAAATTTTTAGACAATTTTCACTAAATGTTGCAATTAAATATTCCAAAAATTTCAAATAAATTTTTAGAAAAATTTCGGTGCTGTGGGGGTAGTTATACTTTAAAAATTCGAGTTGACTTTATGCCATTTGCAATTTCGGACAATAATGAAAAATCGGTTATAGGGTCAACCGGGGTAAATCCGAACGCTTTTAGTAAGTTTCAACAATAACATAAGTTTTTTCTTTTAAAAGACAATACTTCCGGTATTCTGCTGCATGAAGTTGTTACTTTACTTCCATAGAACAATTTTATGGGGTAGCAAAAATTTTTGATAAATTACAATCGCAGGAAACTTAGCGTTCGTATTTACCTCGATACTTTGCAACTTTCCTAAAATACGGGGGTAAATACGAACGCCACTGTATTTCAGAAAAATCTTAGGGAAAATAAATTTGAAGTATTGCAATTGTTAAACTTATATAAAAACTCAAAAAAAATACGATAATAAACCTATTATGTAATAATGCATCATATATAAATACAAAAATCAAACAGGTTAAAAATTAAAATGCATTACACAATTAAAACCTTCAATAACTTTATCAAATCATAATGGATTTCTGCAAAACTTGATACAGAAAGTATTTTGGAGTGACTGAATGTAAATACAAAAATAAAAGTCAAATTTTTTAAATTCAAAATGGCGGACTTTCCTAAAACTTATTTTTAAAAATGATCAAATTTGCTAACTCCAAATTCGTAATCAACGACCCTGAAACCCCCCGAGTAACAATTTTCGAGCGAATCCAATGAATTTTTTAATTCTCGTCCGTCATTTTGAATTTTGAAAAACTGACTTCAATTTGGTAATTAGCGACCCCAAAAACCGTAGAATACCAAATTTTATTAAGATCCTGAAAAACTTTTTTCAACAAACCATTTGGCAAAAAAATTGAAACACTCCTTCGAGAGAACAGAGATTAAGTTTCTGCTTATTAATTACTAACGAGGATACGTATAGAAAGAAAAACTTTTTTCTATGTACTTTTATAATGTTAAAATAATAGTTTAATCAAATAAAAACAATTTTCTGTGGCTCTGATGTAAAAAAAAATTATTGAAAATACCGTTCGAATTTACCCCGGTTTTCCCATTTTCCTGGGTAAATACGAACGGTCTAATATTATTAATAAAATTTTACAGAAGGCAAAAATCAAAAATAGTTTCTGTTCTAGTATTCATAACAAACAATTATAAATAATAAAATAAATTTTTAGCTTCTTTTTCTTCAAATACGAGACAAAATACTGAAAGAGTGTCATCTTTGATTTTCAATCTTTTTTGAAATACTCGTTAGCTTTGTTTATGCTGTTGCTAATTAACAAACGAAAAATAGGATAATACTTAGAATCTCTTGAAGAGGATCTGAGGTAAAAATTCTCATATCGAACTTATTTTTAAAAATTTTAATTAAGCTGAAATAATTAGCGTTCGGATTTACCCCCCGTTCGGATTTACCATGGCTGACCCTATGGAAATTCAATCAAATAATAATTCGAACAAATGAAAATTTATCTGCGAAAGGAAATTCTATGCAATGAAATTCTATTTAATAAAAATTCTTTAAAAGAACTTACCAAATAAGTGATTCCTTCATCTGTACCCGCATCGTACGGGTATAAATTGTATTGCTTTTGCTCTATCCAAGTGCAATTAGGCAAGCAAAGCTCCAGGCCTGAAACTCCTACGAACCAATCAGGCGAAGGATCTGTAGAAAAAAAATAAAAAGAATATTTCATTTTAAACAAATAGAAATTAAAATAAATTTTTTTTTGCATTTTAAATAATTTTATCATAAAATATAAAAGCTATTATGGATCAATTTTATATTTTTTTTTTAAAACAATTTTCTCACCAATCATGGAGACTAGCGACATTAAGTGGTGCTTCCTATCCACTCGAAAAACAGCAAAAGTCTTTCCAGTCACGTTTGGATAACTGATTCCTCTCGCTTTGATAATCGTTCTTATATGTTCACTCTAAAAATATTATTATATTACAATTTAATTAAAATTTTATTTCCATTTGGAAAAAAAACTATTCTACCTTTTTATATAGTAGGAAAAAATTATTTTTCAAAACAAATTTTTTATATTTTAGAAATTGTTTGCTAGTGGAATTTTAAAATAATTATTATTAATTGAAATATAAGCCCATTGATTAAAAAAAAATATGAAATTTTTCAATTTTTTTTTGCCGAACCTGGTCTTTTAATTCCGATTCAAGGACACGTGTTGAACCATGTTCAGCCACTTGTTTTAATCCCTCGCTTGCATTTCCATTATAGGACCAAAAACGATATTTTGCTGTGTGCGATGCGCCAATTACGTCCGAGAATCGAGCGAGCCAGGCTTTGCTTGGAAAATCCTATTAAAATGTAAATGAAGTATTAATTAAAAGGCCATTAAATAATTAATCTCTTTAAAATAAGCTTCACTGGTATCACATAGATTCTGGATTAAATTTTTTCCACTTCTGTGTGTTCAGAAGGAAAGCTTTCAAAAAAAAATAATACACAGTTATTTACAAACAAAAAAAAGAATTGATTAAAATATTTATATTCTTAATTATTTTTTTCAATTACAAAATTCATGATACTAAAAAGGTTTACTAACTTTTGGATGAGTATTCCGTGACCAAAGACCTTCAAAAGCAACTTCATATTTAGCTTCGTCACAGGCGCAACATTTATCGAGAATTTCACCTTGTTCATCCTCTTCTGCTTTAGGATTCGGACACATGCGTATCGATAATTTTTCATTTGCATCGTCTTCTTCCATGTACCATGTTTCAGGCGTCTCCACCACTAGCGCCCTAATTTAATTAGAATATTTCTATTTCATTTTTATTTAAAACATTGTATTCTAAACAATAACAATTATAGATGATTATTTAACTCATGAATTTCTGATTTTTATAACACAATTTATTATTATTTTATTATTGTTACGAGTGTAATTTTTAAAAACCTGATTCTGACGCAACCACTATCTTCAACTGGACTTCTCCAAATTATAGAAACTGATTCTTTTGGCAATTTTGCTGTTTCAATAATTGCATTTTCACATTTTTCCGAATATTTTGATAAAGTCTCATCAATAACTATTAATGTTCCACTGTCGAGTGTTTCATTTTCATTTGCGACTATGATAAAAAAACTGGAAAATTTGTGAGCTGGACCTTGACTGTCTCCGCTCTCAATAGTTACTATAACAAAAAAAATTTTTTATTATTTTTAAATCCTATAAATTTTATAAAATATTTATTTCATGCATTCAACGTGAAAGGAATCTATGGAAATGATTACAGAAAAAATCACGTGCAACGAGTTTTAAAGCAATATTATTTAACAAAAATAATTTATTTCGTCTTTTACTTATTGAAAAAAAAAATTATTAAATTAAAAACAGATTTGAAAAATTAAAAAGAAATTAAAACAAGTTATTAATTCAGATGTTTATTACATTCACATTTTGCTTCCTCTTTACAATCAGCAAATAAAATTTGCTTACCCGTTAAGAAAAAAATTTCCAAAAAAATTCAATTTTTCTTAGGCAGACGATTTTATTGCATATTCTTGCACAAAATACACCTAAAAGTGTAGAAAAAAATCGACAGCCAAATCCGAGTAGAGGAAGACCTCTTTTACCACCAAAAAGTCATCCAGGTCCAAAATAAAATTTCCAAAAAAATTCAATTTTTCTTAGGCAGACGATTTTATTGCATATTCTTGCACAAAATACACCTAAAAGTGTAGAAAAAAATCGACAGCCAAATCCGAGTAGAGGAAGACCTCTTTTACCACCAAAAAGTCATCCAGGTCCAAAATAAAATTTCCAA